GCAAATTAGTTGTGTGGTTTGAACGACAGCTCTCGACCTGTGGTTAGAGGCATCGTTTCTATATTGCACGACATTTGGAGGTAATAAATCCTCATCTTGAGCAAAATAATCAAGCTGACATTCAGTACAACCGGTGCCTTTTATTTAGAATACATACAAATGGAATTTACGTCTTTTAGTTTGTCAAAAGATTTGAAGTAACGTGTTGGAAGAGTGCGCATGTGCGAACGTGCTCCACTATGTAAGAACGAGCCAAATATTGAGTCTGGTAATAAAGCAAAACAACTGAGAGCAATTAGAAATAGTCCTCAGATGACATGTCTGTAATTTGTATAAAACAAATCTAGCGTTAATTGGATCTCAAACAGTTTCAATAAAAGTAGTTCTTACTCCACCACGTGCGAAACCAATGTGGTTGAACGATACTTTGCGACAGTGGGTTTCGGGAAACAGTCGCGACTAGCTAGTTGATTTCTCCAACGTTGCATCGTACTATGGTAGTGAAGCAGTGAACTACAGTACGTTGTTGTATACGGGTTGCAGAATTTCCAATAATCACAGTAAGCACTTCAGATGTTTAAGGAGTAACTAAACACTTAACCAACTTTTTTTAGTTAATGATCTGTAAGAATTGATCTTTATTAATACCAGTCATTGATTCGAGTAACTTTTTTGACATTTGTGTATAAAGTGTTTTAATTGTACAATATATGGTGTAAAAGCGTCTTAGTGCTGCCCTCTTCAGGTTGAACGGTGGCTACTGCAGTTGAATTTTCCTATTGGATTTTAGCGGTTCTTCGTGACGTACGCAGCTTTCAGCTCACCACGCGAGCTACGCCCTTGGCAAAATAAAAACCATCTTGTGTCGTCAAAACCACTGTAGGGAGTCAGGAGTTGGAATTGTGAGTATTGAAAACGATCAGGATAGAGTGTTTTAGCATCTATTTCGTCCCCTCTATCTCCGCTGGGGTCTGCCCACTTTTTCAGCATTTTCAAATATTGCCAGTGGGAGTCAGGCTCTGACCAGGGGTTTAGTTACCCTTTAAGACTTGACCAAACCTCTTCAATCCCGTTCACATGCATTTTTCGTTATTCTGTGTAATCGCTAAGAATTGTGGTTATTTTTTGGTTCATTTTTCACCTGAATGTCTTTATTTCGTCAATATACTTTATTATGTTCAAAATCGTGGAAAGTTGTCAACTTGAACTTAGTTTCTTCAGCGGCTCGGTTTCTTCAGAAACGTGATGCCTTCTTTACCGCTGTGTTACTGGATAGTTTGACCAGAGTGGAGCAGATGAGATTGAAATGTTTACAATGCTTGTTTATTGCGATTAAAATCTGTATATGCCACATTTTATTATGATTATGGTTGCAACGATAATGAGCTTAATCGCATCAATTTGATCAGATTAGTGTGCCTACATGAGGGAAAGTTTAATCGCAATTTTGCCTAAATCTCATCATAATCGCATTACGAGGGTGCATGTAAATGCAGTCATTGTTAAATTTTACAATTCGCTTATGCGTCCAAATAGTGACAGCTAATGTGCACAACCCTTACATTAAACACATGAAAATCTGTGCATTTTAAACATCTTGTAATAAAAACAGATTTAAGGGCTTTGAGTTTTGAATTGTTGAGGCTTTGGGATAGAATTTTTACTAGGCTTAAACTGAATTAAAAAATATTGTTTTGATCAAAAAACAGTTAAAACAGATGCCATAATTTACTAACCCACACGTCACACCAAACCTGCATGACTGAGTGAACAAACTAGTGACCGCTAGTGGTGCGTAAATTACACACTTCGCCATTATTTCTCGTGCGGTCGATCGTGAGGTTTCTGAAGGTACTCATTATAATCACAAACACAGGCTATGGGTCTGGCAGAACACGTTTGGTTTTCATACCGATGTGCATACCAGGCAGAGTTACCAAGGGACGCGGGAACACTGTGTTCAAGTCGAAACGTCTCACGTTAAAAGCCACCAGCTGGGCTGTTAAGTTCAGTCTGACAGAACAAAACAGTCAGAGTTGGTCAGTGTTGTGGACATGAAAGGCTTGATTTTTCTAAGCGGATCTGCAGTCGCTGGAGAGGTCAGGGAAGTGTGATCTGATCCCCTGAGAGAAAGACACACATCTCTGGTTCACTCCAATGCCAGCGGGGAACTGGTTTCCAATTAGGTGATACTTGTTTTGCTATGGGGACTGATATGTACCAGTGTAGGCTATCTGTGTCATGTTAGCTGGAGATTTATGCTGCGTTTTGCTACTTTTACGTATTTGGCAGATGCTAAGAAGTTAAAATGCATTCAAGTCATATATTTTATCACAAAAATGTACAAAGTGGGTGAGACTTAACCCCTAAATTTCCCACATGTTAACCACAGCTTAACGTCTCTGTAGCATTCGCTCTAACCAACTTTTAACATCATGCTAATGGTAAATATCACTATGTAGTTTGGCCAATGACAAATGAGAGTGTTGATGTTGGTCTCAGAAAACTTTTATACCTTCTTCAACATGACTCTAAAAATGTAATGTGGTGCAGCCATTAAATAAAAAGTACATACCTTATGTTTTTAAAATTTTCAATGTATACTTTTTTTATTATTATTGTGTATTCCAGCCCATTCTCACCCCCAAGGCGTCACCTAACTGACGCCTTGGGAAGCATTTTGACCATGCTTCAATATCTGACGCTTTAGGCGCCCTTTAGCGTCAGTTAGATGACGCCCTAGGATCGCGTGTAACCCTACCCCCACCCCACACCTAAACCTAACCGCGTCCTCTTTCCTTTAGCGTCAGTTAGATGACGCCGTAGGATCGCGTCATGTTACTGACGCCAAAGGGCGCCTAAAACGTCAAATATTGAAGCATGGTCAAAGGTGACGCCTTGGGGTGAGAATGCGTTGTGTATTCATAAATATCATGATGTTTTTGGAGTGTCGCGCTTTATGGCATTTCACAGCCTGAACTTGCCATAAAAGGACAGTTTTAAGAAACTTATTGACATTGTCACATAAAGGTTCTGCTGGGGGTACACTATTATATGATTTTCCTGTTTTATTATATATTTTTATTCCCATCAACGTAGTGTCAGCCCAGATCCGGCCCTACACCATTTCATGTGTACCAGATGGGCTGACACCATATTGTTGTCTGGGTAGTTGCACCACATGACTTGATATGAATAAATAAATATGGTTCATATATGACATTTATAACCCAGACATTTCTGACTTCATGCCCCCAAAATATTTCAAAATGAAATACAAGAACATTAGGGGATGAGATTAATACGTTCAGCTATTCATTTTAGTGGGTTGAAGTCACTCAATTTTAAGAATGTACATGTATAATATTGCATAATATTTATACACAATGCATTCTCACCCCAAGGCGTCACCTTTGACCATGCTTCAATATTTGACGTTTTAGGCGCCCTTTAGCGTCACTTACATGACGCGATCCTACGGCGTCATCTAACTGACGCTAAAGGAAAGAGGACGCGGTTAGGTTTAGGTCTGGGGTGGGGGTAGGGTACACGCGATCCTAGGGCGTCATCTAACTGACGCTAAAGGGCGCCTAAAGCGTCTCGATATTAAAGTATGGCCAAATGCTTCCCAAGGCGTCAGTTGGTGGTGAGAATGGGCTGTTATACAATAATAAATTGTATTGTATATGCGGAGTAAAAACAGGAAAAATACGTCCATAATATACAGGACAAGAACACAGAACTACTAACATCTGTATTGGCCAGAAAAAAAAAAAATGCTTCAGATTTTCCATTTTAGGTCTGTCTTTATGTCTTTATTTATTGTTTCTATCATTTTTTGAGTAGTCAAGACATTGTTCTGCATGCTTGACTGATCTCAAAACTGAGTGGATCGTTTCACAGCTGAATTCCTCTAGAAAGATTAGAGGCAGGTGAAAGAGGAAAAATGGGAACTTTTTGCCAAGGAAAGAATGTTCTCAATGTCTAAAATACTTAAAAGGCTTATCAGAACATTAACGTCAATGCAAAGCAGAGTGCAGCCCTCCTTTTACAATAACTCCTATACATTTTTTTCATACACCATTTTCATGGTTATACAGTATCTTCCCACCCTTTTTAAATACAGTTTTAAAATAACTGTTTTGAAAAGAACACATTTCAGATGTGGTATAGGCTCGATTTCTCTGTGAAATTTGTTTTGCAGTGCATACAATTAACTTGTTTTGATTATGACCTCGACTAACGAAAACTAAGGACTTTATAACAAATATGTCAGCGAAGCATAATTGCATGTGTATCTGATACACGTCCCACACGTTCCCGTATCCCAACCTGAATAAATGTCTTACCGCTAAATTGCAGTGGAAAACCTTCCATTGTGTGAAAGTTATACAAAACTCCAATCGGGAAACAATCCCAATGCTTGTGTTTTTTTTCTTTGCTAGTTTCCATTTTAGCTTGAAATAACACAGTCGTAAGCAAAACCAACAGCTTGACTTGGAATGAATTTGGTTATAAACACACTTGCCAGTATTCGCTATTTATTGCACAGATTCCTCATAAGCGCAGTACGATATGATTAATATAAAAGACATTATTGTTGTATTTTCTCAGACATTGTGGCACTGTTAGCGACTGTCATGGTAAAAACATTAATAGAGGTATTATTTTCAGGGATGGGGAAACAATGATATTTTCCGTACTGTTAAAACAATCAACAAAGTTTGAATCCCGAGACGATAAAGCTGGCTGCCAAAATCTGTAAGAAAACTGCTACTTACCGGCAAAGTGTGTGTTAGTGAACCCCTGATTTCAACTCATTTTTAAATCAATAGTGGAAATTGTCACGTCACCCAAATGCCATAGTATTATAGGCCCTGTTTACACCCGTATCAAGCTTGATTTGTAAGGTTCAGTGAGTCATTTGCACCACTTTTTTTAGCAGGTGCCATTGGCCAGACAAAGAAAACATCTTTGCTGATTATTTCTCGTTTTTGTAGGACCACAGCTACCTCAATGGAAAGAAAAGGACGTCTAAGAGACAGACCAGGGACCTCCCTTTTGTAAAGCTTCTAAACATTTCCATCACCCTGTCCCCGTACCTGAGTGTGGACTCGCAGCCGTTTCAGACCTCCGTTCAGGCGGGCTTTGAAGACTTCTGGCTGAGCCAGCCCTCAGGACCACAGGGACGACTGGTAACACTGTTCGCGTAGCACTGTTTATGCATATGAAGACATGAAGCCAATCATTTTAGTATTTTCACTTCAATTTTAGTTAAAGTTTTGGGGATACTGTGATTTAAGGTGACATAGTTCCATTGTACATACTCAAATGAGTACTGAGTAATATTAATCAGCTACATGTACTTAGTATAGGTACTTAATTTTGTTGTGTTGGTTTAAGAAAATGAGATTTATATATATATACACTCACCTAAAGGATTATTAGGAACACCATACGAATACTGTGTTTGACCCCCTTTCACCTTCAGAACTGCCTTCATTCTACGTGGCATTGATTCAACAGCATTCTTTAGAAATAATGTTGGCCCATATTGATAGGATAGCATCTTGCAGTTGATGGAGATTTGTGGGATGCACATCCAGGGCACGAAGCTCCCGTTCCACCACATCCCAAAGATGCTCTATTGGGTTGAGATCTGGTGACTGTGGGGGCCATTTTAGTACAGTGAACTCATCGTCATGTTCAAGAAACCAATTTGAAATGATTCGAGCTTTGTGACATGGTGCATTATCCTGCTGGAAGTAGCCATCAGAGTCAGAGCCATCAGCCACACTTTTAATTTAAGTGAACTTAAAACAATGTTCATATCAACCCATAAAAAATGTCATATTTACCTCATTCTTATCAAAGCAAATATACCGAAATTGAATAAAGTATCAAACACTTTACAGTCTTAATTATAAATTAAATATAGATGAATCCTTATTTCATAAGGTCCGTGTACGTTGTGTTCATTCGTTTTTCGATTTTATATTGAAAGTAGAAAAATGAGAAAACGGCTCATTTATTCTTTTTTCTTTTTTCCAAAAAATTAAATAAATAAAAAAAATGAGAATTCGGCTTGATTTTTATATTTTTATGTTCAGGGATAGAAAATGGAAAAATGGATTGAATATTCGATTTCCACGTGTGGGCGCGCATGAAACGCCCCTTTCCGCTGATTGGTCAACCAAATATCAACACTTTCAGCTCTTCCACAGTTTCCACAGAATAACAGTCCTCCGCTGCTCGACTGATTCTTTACCACAAATCGCGCTGAACAGGGACTAGAAAGGGTTTTCTTGATTCAATGATTCAATGTCCCAAATATAACCAAGTGAATCAGCGTTTTGAACGAATCGGTTGAATGAATGACTCACTGACTGACTAGAGACAGTTACGTGCTGCCACCTACTGGGGGTCTTACTCTCATAATCTAAGTATTGTTTCATTTTGTCATTAATTTCATATTTAAAAGGCTATTCAAAATGTTATATTTTAAATGTTGATATCATAATACTATGTAATTGTAATTACTGTGTAAATCCTCTATGCAGCATTAAACAGTTAATAGTAGGCTAATAGGTCTACATGCCAGTTCAGAATTCAGATGCAGCTTCTTTGGTTGATACCATAGACTGTAATTTAATTTGATTGGTAACAGCTTATTGTCTTATTGTTCTAATTAAATTTGTCGATTAAATTTCCAATTTTTTTATAAAAGATGACAAATAGCCTATATTTAAAAAATATTCGAATTATTGCCCTTGCAAAGGTGAACATAATAAGCTATGAAAGCTATAAGCTATGAAAAACAAACAAACAAACAAACAAACCAACAACAACACGGACCTCATATTTACTTTGATTATTTTATTTTTAGTTATTTTAGTATTTCAACTTAAACTTAACCAAAATGAGAAATGGTGCCTTGACAACTTGCTCAAATAACATTCAAAATAAGTTTCAGGGTTTTCTTTTATTTCAGTCAGTGTTTAGTTTCAAGTGATGTTTATTTTTTTTATTTTAGTTTTAGTTAATGTAACCATGTGGGATGCCTTTTTTCAGGATCTATACAAAAAATTCAAAAAATACATAACGTTTTTTAATTCAGACAAAGAATTAGTTTTTTTAATATTTTGGGGGCAGAAAGTATAAAAAAAAAAAAAAAAAAAAAAAAAAACGTGTGACTGTCCTGATATAATAATAAAGAAAAATAGCCTCATTAAAAGAATAGAATTATTTTTGAAATTCTATTTAATTCTCTTATTAAGTAGTTTGTCAGTTTGAGGAGGCAACTATAGTTCAGGTTATAAAATGTCATGTGGCGCAACTCAAACAAAAAAAAATGATTTAAATTTATGGTAATAGTAAAAATAGTAGTAAAATTTCTAAGGATTAAGATGTGTACACTTACGCAAAAAAAATTACTTGATGTCATTTAATCTAAACTTTTCTTGAAAATGGTATAAACATTTTTCAGAACGATACAGTATGACCTCAAAATAACTTTTTTTAAGAACTATTTTCTTTCAATGGACACTTTTATTTGTTATTTACCTACAATATATTTACCTGTTCATTATTATTTCTCGTTCATAAGGTGCCTATGTTGACTCAGTGGAAGGGAAAGTACTGTGTGAAGCTCAACATCACCAACCCTAAAGCCACGAATTGGTTTCTGGACAAAGTGGACAGCTTACACAGTCATTTGGGCATGGAGTATGTCATCCTGGAAGGCGGTGAGGGAAACCTTTTCGAGGATCATGCCCTGCGCCCCCCTCTTGCATCAGTCGGGGACGAATACATCACACGCCTTGCTGACCTGGCAGAGAAGATCGGGGACAACACCATTGTGACCTCGGGAACAAGGTATTTGGTGTTATTGTGTAAATAATCCCGATCAATCACTGAATTTGCCAAGTAGGTCATGGAGCAAAATCCTTGTTGGTCCTAAAATCTTATTTTAGGTTAGATTGAGGGATGGGGTTGGGATTTACAGGTGGTATCATTAGGTTTGTTTCACCGGAATGTTGTTCAAGGATCAACCGGAAATGTTAATCCAAAAATCCGTCCCATTTGGCATCAATGGTAACCTACCACAATTGAGACTTTGTTCAGACAGAGAACCAAAATCCTAAATATATTCTTAGCGTGTCCGACTCAAATATGTAGTTGTACTGTCTAAATCAAATCCAAACCTGATCCAAACCACATGCATATGTGTAGGACTGTGAAACGATTATTCGCGATTAATCGCATCCAAAATAAAAGTTTGTGTTTACATAGCCTAATATATGTGGGTGCACTGTGTACAATTATAAATAGACACACATGCTTGTATATATTTAAGAAATATTTTCATATATATATTCTGTACATAGATTTATATATAATTTATATTATATATAAATATAAATATTTTATATATAAATAATTTTTTTTTCTTAAATTTACATGCATGTGTGTGTTTATATATATATATAAAATAATTATACACAGTGCACCCACATATATTATGTAAACAGAAACTTTTATTGTGGATGTTATTAATCGCGATTAATCGTTTGACAGCCCTACATATGTGTGATTTGAAATCTGATTAAATTGGATTTTGGAAGATCTTATTTATTTATTTTTCATGTTATCAGCACTGTGGAAATGCCATGTGTAACCACAGGCATAGTTTACAGTTTTTCATCCCTTTTCCACATTAACAGCCACTCATATTTGGAGTCGGAAAAATGCAAAGAGGTTTTCTTAAACAACAGTGTCATTTACTAGCATGACTTCGTCATACTCATATTCTAGAGAGAATATGAATCTGAAACTCCTCCGTTGGGCTTTAATTATGAGGCGTGTCGTAACCGAACCAGGAAAAAAACAAACTCTGCACTCAATTGGATAGTCGGTAGACCTACAACCAATCAGAGCAACGCAGTAAGTCAACTACTTTGCATAGCGCAGTTTTCAACTAACTTACTTATTTTAGAAATAAAATAACAAGTGTTGCTTCTTTTACTTGGTCCTCCATGAGTGCGACCAAAGGAGAAACCACGACGACCACAGACTTTTCATTCCGTCCCATCTTCTTAACGACCGTCAGAGCCAGCTGCTAAGTTACACTTTTCCCGAATCATGTGGGAAGGACGGCAAAAATATCTTTCCATCGTTTAAATCCCGCCCTGGCAATTTGATTGGCCCGTTCATTTTTTGACTGATCATAATTTCTCCTCAATGGATCGAGTCCAGAGCGAACTTCCCGACCAAAAAAATGTTGTGGGCGGGGTTCGGGCTGGCATCCAGGCTAGTCATTTACCATCGCAAGATGTAACTTAAGTCGATTATGGTTTGAACAATCAGATCTAAAATATGCAAAAGATCACATGTGGACCGGACACAAATATCAGATAATGTGTCGAATTGTTTTGTAACTGGCCGATTTTTGTTTGCACAGGTCCAGCCACAAACCGCTGTTCATCCGCATGAGTGCACTACAGTCAGACTGGAGTTACTCCGGCCTCAAGGGCATCATTCCATCCCTGCTGCATCACAGTCTTCTGGGATATCATTTCTTCATTCCTGACGCAGTAGGTAATGCCTGCCCACACACACACATGAATTCACATTTACACACATTTATCTTTTGTGACGATGCATTCCATAGAGAAAGGAAATATCATTTAATCAACTGTCTTCTTGAATCCTTTACAAAAACAAAGGAGTGTCTTCACCACTAACTAGCACACAATTGGTAAATCTTTTAAGAACATGACCAGGTCACATTACAAACACAAATCAAGGGAAAGTTTTAATCTGGGCAACGATTAATCGCGATTAATCGCATCCAAAACAAAAGTTTGTGTCTGCATAATATAACATTTTACATATAAATTAAAAAAAAAACATTTCTTAAATATATATATATATGCATGTGTGTGTGTGTATTTATATATACTAAATAATTCTACACAGTACACATGCATTATGTAAACAAAAACTTTTATTTTGGATGCGATTAATCGCTGCGCAGCACTTTAAGTATTATATTTTGCATTAAGAAAATTAACCCCATTTTTAGGACAGTTATGACTGTTTTACTTTGACAATCAGGCTTTTTACTTTCACTCACAAATGACTGTAATATTAAACCGTAGAAATATGTTAGATGTTAAATATACTGATTTAGATTTTCAAGAAATGCATTATATTGTCAGAATCTCAACTAAGAATATTGGGAAAAGCAGCAATTAAGCACACTTACTCGTGAAAATAATAATAATAATAATAATAATAAAAATGTATATTAAATTATATTATAATTTTGTATAAAACAGTTTTGAATAATCACAAATGATTATATATATCTTTTTTTTTACATGTGAATGCATTTGCATTCCTCAATGGCAGGAGGCTCTTTCTCTGCCGAACTGGTTGCAGACGACGAGCTCTTCGTTCGCTGGCTGGAAATCGCAGCCTTTCTTCCTGTCATCAGCTTCCAGACACCTCCGTGGGTCTTTGAGAACGAATGGGTGAGTGCAGCAAGGGCGAGTCCTCGGCCCTATTCGGGTTTTGCTTTCAGTTCAGTTTTTGTTGAGGTCAGGAAAGAAAAAGGGATAACATGGAGCTAAGTGTAATAAAGACTGAGTTCCCTGGTAGGAAAACTGGGTGCAATATGTTGACCATTGAGAGTTAAATGCCTCAGAATGAGAGATTTCTTTTTCACTCTTAACATAACAGTAGGAATCTAATACTCATTCACTCCATGGTGTATCATGAGAATGCCCTTCTCCAAACACTAGCTAAATACATACCAGAATATGTAGTCTCAAGCACTGATATATTTGAGCCCATAGAGCGCGGTTTGAGTTTAGGACCGGCACAGAGGATCCTCCAGGTGGCCGTTTTTCTTGCATTTCATGGTGTAATTGCTTGGCCTTTCCCCAACATCACCTGTGGTTAAGGGTCCATATGGTCTGCATTAGTGTCTCTTTCAAATTTATGACTCTCAATCTTAACTGTAATGAGAACCGCTGCACCAGGAATAATGAATCGCTGGATAAGTGGAAAAGAAAATTTCCAGAGACAATTACAGGTTTGGTTTGTGATTTGACTTTGCAGTCCAGAATAGGAGGTGTTTTTTGTTTTTTTCTAATCACTGGTAGAAGTAGATCTTTTAATGCATTTCATTGCTATGAATGGACACATGTGGTTATATTTAGCAGAAAGTAGAGGGACAGCTGACTTTGAAAATGAAAATTTTGAAAGTTAATCACTGCCATTACAATTCATTTCAAGCTTAAAGAGATAGTTCACCCAGAACTGAAAATGAAGTCATAATTTACTGTACTCACCCTGTTGTTGTTTCAATGCAGTATGCCCTTTATTCTTATTTTTTAGACCACAAAAGGATAATTGAATTTTTTTTAAATGTCCTGCTCGCGCTTGTCCATATAATGGCAGTGAATAGCGATCAGCATCAAGCTTTTTAAAAAAAAAAAAAAAAAAAAAAAGTATCACAGAATGATCCCATGCGACCCGTGCCGTATACTGTATTCCAATTGTTGGAATCCAAGGTACTGTATGTATGTGTCACATGGGGTCATTCTGTGATGCTTTAGCATCTTTTTTTTAAAGGTTGATGCTGGTCAATATTCACTGCCATTATATGGATGCTCATTTTGTGGTCCAAAAAACAAAACAATGGCATATATACGACAGGAAGAATACCAGGGTGAATAAATGATGCCATAATTTTCATTTTTGGTATGGGCGAACTAACCTTTTGAAAAACTACACTTTCTCATGAAAATAATAAAAATGATTATTGGTCCAAAAAACACAAAAACAATGGCATATAGGACATTGGAACAATACCAGGGTGAATAAATGATGACTTAATTTTCATTTTTGGCTGAACTCATCCTATGAAAAATAAGTTGTATTACGATTACTGTCTGAGAATAAAGGCATTTGGAATGGCATTGGAAGAATAAATTAAGACAATTTTAGGGTGAAAAAATCCCTTTAAGGACTTTATGCCATCTATTTCAGTGAGGAAATAGTATTTGAACATGCAGTGGTTTTGGTCTTGGCTCATGAGTATTATCTGGACAGTCTTAACCTCTTTAAATCATAATTAATTAGTATCGATGTTAAATGTGCTGATCTTACTGAAAGGTTTTACTTGCCTTTATTTTCCATTCTGTTCGATTGGCCTCTGCAGGCAGTGTGTGTGGGTGTACTAGCTTTTGTGCGATTACCCAACACCAACACCCATTAGAGACTCAATGACTATGTTGGGTCTAAATAGGAGGAAAATGGGAATGGAAGCCACAGGCCTGTTTTCCCCATTTAAAATTAGACCGAACTCAGGCAGTTATTCAAAATTCATCTCATGAAACTTTTTTCAACTAGAGAATACATTTTTTATGAACGTGGTTTTGCTTTGTTTCCGTCACCAGAGGCTGGCTAGGATGTTAAGTGAAGGATGTGACCTCCCAAGGAATGTTAGAAACAAACCACAGCAGAACTAGACAAGAACAGTGTCGAACAAAACTCACATCTTCTTTCATATAAGTTTTATTAAGCATTCACTGACAATCTCCCCTTCCGTCTAGGTCCTAAACCTCACCAGATTCTACATAGTCAAGCACCACGACTTTGTCGTTCCTTTGATCCTGAAATATGCTGAAGAATGGCAAGAAGCTGGAAACCCAATCTACAGACCGCTGTGGTGGCTCAGTCCAAATGACCCAATCACATTCACCATTGACGATGAGTTCCTCATTGGAGATGAGGTAAGCTGCTTCCAATCAGCCCGTTTAGGAGGAACCTGAGTTTAAACTCCTTGCTCAAAAACAGTGACCGGGATTTTACCATGTAGGACATGTATCATTTGTTGGTTTTGGAACAACACAGTCCAAACCTCCAAACCTAACCTGAAATCAGAAGGAGATTAAATGTTTTCAGTGTTAATTTTGTCAACATAATTTCTGATGGGATGTTAGTCAAACGAAGCTGAGATAAGGAAGACTAGATGCACACTGTTAAAATATAAAACCGTGTTGATGAGAATATGACAAAAATAACAACAAGAGATGGGTGAGCTGAAACTGAACAGTGAATGAACAATGGTTACGTGAAGCACTTTGCTAGCAGGTTAAGGGCACATTTACACAACAATGATGTACTAAAAACGGAAAAATGTTTTCTTTGGATTTTTACCGTACAGACGACAACGATGTCAAAACGATCTCCGTTTACACAGATCCAAAAAAACAACTGATAATGCTGTATTATTCATGCCAGGCCAGTAGGGGACAATGTCACTTTATAAAGAAACACTACACATAGACTGAACATGCAATACACATGTGCATGATGTCACTGTTGGTGACCATACACCTGCATTATATGACTGACAGACAAGAACGGTTTGACCTAAAAATATCAAAATTGAAAATACTGTGGAAACAAAGACACCTACATCTTGGATGCCCTTGAGGTAAGCTAAAGCATACCAAAAATTCATTTCAAAGTGAACTATCCCTTTAAGACGTTAAGATGACTGCTCTAAAAAATTCCTAATCTAGCTTAGTCTGCAGGCCTAACTGTTGATTATTAACTGGGGTGATATTAAATCGTGAATATCAAAACTGATATGTCGGGACAAAATCTCGACTCGGACTTGTTTCCTCAAAGACTCGGTCTTGACTCGGACTCGACTGTGTTTGAAAACCAACGGACTCGGTCTGGACTCGGACTCGACCCTTAAAAGACTCGGTCTTGACTCGGACTCGACTGTATTTGAAAACCAACAGACTCGGTCTCAGACTCGACCCTTCAAAGACTCGGTCTTGACTCGGACTCGACTGTATTTGAAAACCAACGGACTCGGTCTTGACTTGGTCTCGACACTTCAAAGACTCGTTCTTGACTCGACTCGACTGTATTTGAAAACCAACGGACTAGGTCTCGACTCGACCCTTCAAAGACTCGGTCTTGACTCGGACTCGACCCTTCAAAGACTCGGTCTTGACTCCGACTCGACTGTATTTGAAAACCAACGGACTCGGTCTTGACTTGGTCTCGACACTTAAAAGACTCGTTCTTGACTCGGACTCGACTGTATTTGAAAACCAACAGACTCGGTCTCAGACTCGACCCTTCAAAGACTCGGTCTTGACTCGGACTCGACTGTATTTGAAAACCAACGGACTCTGTCTTGACTTGGTCTCGACACTTCAAAGACTCGGTCTTGACTCGGACTCGACTGTATTTGAAAACCAACGGACTCGGTCTCAACTCTGACTCGACCCTTCAAAGACTCGGCCTTGGCTCAGACTCGACTGTATTTGAAAACCAAGGGACTAGGTCTCAACTCTGACTCGACCCTTCAAAGACTCGGTCTTGACTCGGACTCGACTGTATTTGAAAACCAACGGACTAGGTCTCAACTCTGACTCGACCCTTCAAAGACTCGGCCTTGGCTCAGACTCGACTGTATTTGAAAACCAAGGGACTCGGACTCGACCCTTCAGAGACTCGGCCTTGACTCGGACTCGACTGTATTTGAAAACCAACGGAATCAGCCTCGACTCAGACTCGACCCTTCAGAGACTCGGCCTTGACTCGGACTCGACTGTATTTGAAAACCAACGGACCCTTACTCGACTTGGACTCGACCCTTCAAAGACTCGGTCTTGATTCGGACTCGGCATAGGCGGTCTCGTCCCCATCACTACATTTTTGCCTGGACTCAACCCTTCAATGACTTGGTCTTTACTTGGACTCGACCCTTTAAAGACTCTGTCTTTACTCGGACTCGACTGTATTTGAAAACCAACGGACTCTGTCTCGACTCGGACTCGACCCTTCAAAGACTCTAGTCTTGATTCGGACTCGGCATAGGCGGTCTCGTCCCCATCACTACATTTTTGCCTGGAGATGAAGCTTTTCATCGAGTCCTGTGAAATGTCTCTTACTGTGACAGCTGCCATAGTACCTGTCCCCGAATGTTGACTGTGTGTCCGAGTGACTGGAGGGGGCGTGGCTTAGCCATAGGTCAAACCCAATCAGGAAAATGTTCCTATAGCGCAGTGGTTCTAAAACCTGTCCTGGAGGACCCATCAACACTGCACGTTTAATCAAACACACCTGATTCAAACTCATCAGCTCATATGATAATGAGCTGATGATTTGAATCAGGTGTGTTTGATAAGGGAGACAAAGAAAACGTGCAGTGGGGGAACCATTAGCTCTCTGGGAACCACTCTGGTGGATAGTTGCTATAACCAAGTTCCTAGAACTACCGGGTACGAAAGCCCCTTTTCTGCTCTTTCTGCAATATTGCACTAAAAGATGGACAGTGAATAACTAAAGCATAAAGAATTCACACAATTGCATAAGAATTGTGTACTCAATTTTATTTCAAGATAGTCTGGCGTTACAATTTATTTACTTTTGGTGTACTGTGGAGTGGGTAAAACTGTTTTTATTGGCAGGCTAGCCGATACTGTTGACTCGCGCTAGTCTAGCACCGGCGAACTATGCAACTGGAATGACTGGATAAAAATGTTTGAAAACTGTCTCCATCTCATCTAACTGACGTTAAAGGGCCCTAAAATGTCGGATGTTGACGTATGGTCAAAAGTGTCAGTTAGATGACGTCTTGGGATGAGAACGGACTGTACTTGGAAATGAGACCTGATGTCCAAAATCCTGAACCACCCCTTTAAAGTTGTTCTCCTTTTTTTCTAGGTTCTTGTTGCTCCGGTTACAGAGAAAGGAGCTTTACAAAGAGACATTTACCTGCCAGAGAGTGCCTTTCAGTGGCAGGACACTAACAATGCTCAAGTGTTTGATGGAGGGACGTTTCTGGAAAGTTACCCGGTCGGCCTTGGGGACGTGCCAGTTTTTGTACGACGGAGATCCTGAGGCTGACTTACGACTTGTGCTGATCTCAAATTGCACTTTCCATAAAGACCATTATCTGTGTCTCAAGGAATCTTGAGATTAGGTAGAAGATAATTTTACATTTGCACTTTAAAAATCAAAGTGATTTATATTTTCTCATGATTTTTAGATCCCTCTCGTTTTCTTCACTACTTGTTTTATTTCATGAGATTTTTTGGGGGGGGAATTTTTACTTCTTCAGAACGCCGGTTTACATTTGATAAATTTATAAAAATCTTACAGCCTCTTAAAGTTAAATTGTTATCATGATATGGAGCTAGAAATCAAACCCTTTGCTTAAAAACAATCAATGGAATTTTACGAAGACCAAACAATCGAATGGAAATTGAGAAAGACTCTACAAGGACAAACCAATGCGCTAAATGGATGAAGATGAAAAAACCTTAAACATCACTCATCTCAGCTGGGTTTTTACTTGAACTTTGCTGAATATTTGCTGTAGTTTGTAATGTTTTAACTGTACCTCAAGTTCTTGTGGTGTTTTTTTTTTTTTTTTTTAGCATGAACTGTGAGAGAAGCACTTATTGATTGAGGAGACTGAAATTAAGGGCTTTTAACGTGAATAGCACAATCATTTTTTTACTACATATACACAAATATTGAAGATCAATCAATAGTACTAGAATATGAGCCGATGTTAAAGACATTTTTTTCATTGCTGTACAGTCTTAGTTTCAATGCAGAACTCAAAAGGACAAATTGTTTCTTCATAATGGTTGTTTTTGAGAGATTTTGATATTATGCTGATTTTAAAAATTATTTGTTTAGATTCTTACAATTGACCAGATTAACCAATATGGTATTTCTAGATATTCATTAATTCAAACTGTAGGACATTATTGAAGGTAGAAGTAGAGTTTTGTATTTATATCACTTCAGACTAAACTTGATCATTCGTTGACGACGTCTGCCTTAACTCTAGAAGAACATTGATGATTGTAGCGGCATTTGTACATTTTGTGGTCATGTTTAAAATACCTGGTTTTATGAAATATAGTTGCTAATTGTTAGAAAGCTGAATTCCACCATTACAAATGATTTTACAGCCTGAGGGCAACATTTGTCCTGTAGAATTGTGGTTTAAAGTGCTCCTATTATGCAATATTAAAGGTTCCTAAATTCATTTGGAGGTCTCCTACAATCGGGTTACATGCATCCAAGATCAAAAACACCTTAATTTCCTCATAATATACATTGCAGCATCAGCTCTTTTGTGCTCTGTTGTGATTGGTCAGATGACCCAGTCTTTTGTGATTGGAATACTCTTTTCTGATTGGTCAGATGGCCCAGTCTGTTGTGATTGGTCTACTCTGTTGTAATTGGTCAGATGACCCAGTCTGTTGTGATCGGAATACTCTTTTCTGATTGGTAAGATGGCCCAGTCTGTTGTGATTGGTCTACTGTGCTCTGATTGGTCAGATGTCCCAGTCTGTTGTGATTGGTCTGCTCTGTTGTGATTGGTCAGATGTATCAGTCTGTTGTAATTGGTCAGATGACCCCGTCTGTTGTGATTGGTCTACTGTGCTCTGATTGGTCAGATGTCCCAGTCTGTTGTGATTGGTCTGCTCTGTTGTGATTGGTCAGATGTATCAGTCTGTTGTAATTGGTCAGATGGCCCAGTCTGTTGTGATTGGTCTACTGTGCTCTGATTGGTCAGATGTCCCAGTCTGTCATGATTGGTCAGATGACCCAGTCTATTGTGATTGGAATACTCTTTTCTGATTGGTCAGATGGCCCAGTCTGTTGTGATTGGTCTACTCTGTTGTAATTGGTCAGATGACCCAGTCTGTTGTGATCGGAATACTCTTTTCTGATTGGTAAGATGGCCCAGTCTGTTGTGATTGGTCTACTGTGCTCTGATTGGTCAGATGTCCCAGTCTGTTGTGATTGGTCTGCTCTGTTGTGATTGGTCAGATGTATCAGTCTGTTGTAATTGGTCAGATGACCCCGTCTGTTGTGATTGGAATACTCTTTTCTGATTGGTCAGATGGCCCTGTCTTTTGTGATTGGTCTACTCTGTTCTGATTGGTCAGATGTCCCAGTCTGTTGTAATTGGTCAGATGACCCAGTCTGTTGTGATTGGAATACTCTTTTCTGATTGGTCAGATGGCCCAGTCTATTGTAATTGGTCAGATGACCCAATCTGTTGTGATTGGAATACTCTTTTCTGATTGGTCAGATGGCCCTGTCTTTTGTGATTGGTTTACTCTGTTCTGATTGGTCAGATGTCCCAGTCTATTGTAATTGGTCAGATGACCCAATCTGTTGTGATTGGAATACTCTTTTCTGATTGGTCAGATGGCCCAGTCTGTTGTGATTGGTCTACTATGCTCCGATTGGTCAGACGGCCCAGTTTGTTGTCATTGGTCTACTCTGCTCTGATTTCGGTTTTCAGTCCAATCTTTTACCTATAGAATGGATTTGAAAAAGATTTTTCCCCACCCAAACCGATTTCAATTTTAATCAGTTTGTGCATTTTAATTTCAATTGAGGTGTTTTCAAGCAGCATTTTCATTCGGATTGTACTTTTAAATCGATTGTAATCACAACGCAATGCTCCATGTACACACGTAGTGATTCGGACAGTAACGATTTAGTTGATTTTACTGTAATGATTTGTGCACGAGTCCTCATCTTGTAGATGTGGATGCAAAGTGGATGTGCTATCGCAAAGTAGAAAACAGCATTTTCAGGCCTCAGCGACAACTACAGTGTTTGAGGGTCAAAGTAGGTGTTCGCAGGCAGCCAATGAGGACCATGGGTTTTGTAACAGAAAGTGAGACTTTTTTGGCACTTCCGAATCGATTCTTTCTTTTAGCAGACAACTTTGGAGACCTTTGGAGACCTTTCACAAATTGGAATATTCGAAAAAATCATAAAAGGGGCACTTTAAGTGAATTTGGCAAAATCCAGATGAACTTTTAAAATAATTTGATAGATGTGCTGCTACTCAGCTTGTGAATCTCTTGTGTCTTGACAAGGTCCAACCTTGGAGCATTGGTCCCTGTGCTAAAACACTAAATCACAATCACCATCATGTGAATCTACAGTGCAGAGAGGAGAACTTGATCAGTATCACCTGATGCGTGTGGCCTACTGGGAATGTCCTCTTAATCATCACTGTGATTTTGAATGTTTACTGTATCTGCAGGTTTCTCAGGTCAAAGATATCAAATCCAAAAGAAAGAAAATGTCTTACGCCCCAGCGCACTGTTAACGTCTTAATCTCTTGATGCTCTTTTCATTTGAGCATTTACAGAAGAGACTAATTGTGATGATCTTATATAGAATGGTGTTTTGGAGCCTTGTTTTGCTTGTATTTTATATTAAAATGCTACACTATGAAAATTATATTCTGAAAAGTTCCCTGCTGAGCAATCTCTGATGGGTTTGTTTAGACATCAGGTGCCACAAGTCAATCAGCAATATGCATATAACATATGACTCTGCCATTCAACTTTTCTGTCTTCTGTTAATCTGAAAAATAGAGATGTCAATCTGCAATAAAGTTTACATTTTGTTACTGTATAGGAGCCTGTTGTTTGCAAACTAAATTCTATAAAACCTGTCAAGATCATGTCCTATTCTACCCCAAAGTCAAACGAAGCAAAGCAAAAGGCATAAAGAAATGAAGAGTTCAGATGCAAAATCAAAAATGCAAAATTAAATGGCAATGATAATTACCTATTAATTGTTATTTAAGTGAAATTACTGAACTTAAATATACAAGTTTGATAAAAATCATCATTAAAGAAGAAAATTTCTAATGGCATTTAGAGGCTTTTGCATCTGAACTCTTCATTTCTTTATGCCTTTTTCTTTGCTTTGCTTAGAGATGCAAAATCCTCTAAGTGCCATTTGAAATTTTCTTCTTTAATGATGATTTTTATCAAGCGTGTATATTTAAGTTCAGTGATTTCACTTAAATGGCAATGATAATTACCTATTAATTGTTATTTAAGTGAAATTACTGAACTTGAATATACAAGTTTGATAAAAATCATCATTAAGGGAGAAAATTTCAAATGGCATTTAGAGGCTTTTGCATCTGAACTCTTCAAATATAAACCTATTGGGGAAATAGCTTTTCTGTTATTGATAAAAATTCTCATTATAAATTGGGGAGGAAAATGTAATATTTAAAATGTTATTTTTATGTTGATATGTATATTATTATTAAATGTTATGTAAACAATTTAATCATTCAGGTGAAATATGAACATAATGAGAATAACTGGCACAATGCGAAATATAGCCATAGGCTTCATTGCAGAATAAAATTTCTTCATCCACTTAAGTCTCAAACTACCATATGCATAATATAGCTAATAGAGTATGTGTAGAATTCCATGCAAATAGAAATACACCAATTTAGAGGTGTTGGAATTCCCACCTTTGTCATTGTAGAAATAGCTCATCTGACCCTTCAATAAACGATATTCAAGTAAGCGTCCACTCTCACGGTATCAATGGCTCTGCTGACGATGAAAACCTGCACTAATTCCACTTAAAGCCAATATAAATTATTTATAGTAGGAGCATGCAAACGGAATCATATGGAAAACACATTCAGGGGGCCCTACCTATTCCATTACAGGCATAGGTAATAAAAGAGACACATTTCATGTGCAAGAATGGTCTATGTACACTCTAAAACTTGCTCTGCTGGTGCTTCACGCATGAAGCCCATGAGTTCATCAGATAAAAGTCACTTCTAACTATACAAATGTCTTTCCTCGTAGACTCCACAGCTGCACACAAACGACACTAGTTGTGAAATGTGGGCTGAGGCTACTTTTAGGTTTAAATAGTCTGTTAAAGTGAAAAACTGTTGTATGAAAAGTTTTTTTTTTAACTAGTGTGAGGCATCTGATAATATAGTCGCAATGCGGTTTGAAGAACTTTCGGTGTTATGATTAACAGCATGCATAGACCTTTTTTGAGGAGGTACGCACATTAAAGCAGCACTATGCATGATTTCTGTTTTTGTCAAACTGTGACCCCTAGAGTCGCTGTGGAGTACTTGTACTGTCATAAATAGCACTCACGCAGATATGTCTCTGCACTCACGGCCTGATCCCCTCCCCCTGTATACTGGTACCTGTTCAGCTGTAATGAGTGGAAATAAGGTGTGGCCCCTTTAAGAGCTGCGCCCTGTTGAACTGTCGGCAGTCTGTATTGTATGCGCCTCGAACACCACATGTATACGGTGCCGGGTTATTTCTGTTTGATGTTTATTTTAGCAGATCTTTCTTGCCGTAAAGCAATTCGTTACATCGCGAGACCTGATATCACGCGACGCTTCCTGATGCTGCGGCCCAAAGTTAATGGACTTCAATGGGAACCAAATGGTTCAAGGTCCAAAAGACAGTTTCAGTGCAAACTGCAAACTGTTCAAAGGGCTTTAAACGATTCCAGACGATGAATAAGGGTCTTATCAAGCGAAACGATCGCTCATTTAAAAAAAAAAAAAAAAAGTTTAAGTTTTATAAGCACAAATGGTCGCCTTGCTCTGTTATGTAATGCAAATCGTGACTCTCCTGTTCAAACTCGTTCATCTAACTCGTTCATCTAATTTGGTTGATTCAACGAACGAAATGAACGAATTTACTCGGAAAAAGATTTGTTCATTTTGGTGAACGAGTTCGAACAGGAGAGTCACGAACACGAATCACAGAACAGAGCAAGGCGACCATTTGAGCTTAAAAAAAACCTTAAACTTTTTTTTTTTTTTTTTTTTAAATGAGCGATCGTTACGCTTGATAAGATCCGTATTCATTGTCTGAAATCGTTTAAAGCCCTTTCAACAGTTTGCAGTTTGCACTGAAACTGTCTTTTGGACCTTAAACCGTTTGGTTCCCATTGAAGTCCATTATATGGAGAAAAATCCTGGAATGTTTTCATCAAAAAACTTTAATTTCTTTTCGACTGAAGAAAGAATGACATGGACATCTTGGATGACATTGGGGTGAGTAAATTATCAGTAAAAGTTTTGTTTAAAGTGAACTACTCCTTTAAGGTAAAAAAAACTGCATAGTGCTGCTTTAAATGTTTTTTTGTTTTTGTTTTTTTTTAATCTTCTTTTGGCATGGCGTTAGCATCGCTGTTGGTTGGTGTGTTTTAACTACTGTACCTGTACCACAATGGACGTTAGACATCACAATGGAATGAATTACGCCTGTATGCACAATGCAATTCAGATGACTTTTATAAAAACTCAACAAATAAGCAACAAAAAAACACTGAATGCACCTTTAAGAATAGTAGCCTATAAACATCCCCCATATTTAGGTTAAAAGTGTTAATGGTCTTGGCAGACAAGAACGCAATCCACGAAATATAAGCTGCTGTGGAAATGGGTTATTGAATGTCTTCACTGGGAGTAACACTGTAGAGAAAATGTGTGTGCTTCCTGTTTTGCACTTTTGAGATATTTGTCACCTTGCAA